GGTTTAACCCTTTCCAGGATGAATCTGTTTGTTTTCCTAGCAGTCCGTGGTACTCTCAATACTCTTCTCCAGCACCACAGCTCAAAGGCATCAATTTTCTTTCTCTCCTCCCTAGTCATTGTCCAACTCTCTGACATGTAACAAATGATTGCAAAGACCATGGCCTGTATCAGACGCACCTTAGTCTCCAGAGAGACATCATTGCTCTTCAGTACTTTGGAGAGATCCCAAACAGTAGATTTCTCATCACAATATGTCTTTTAATTTCCTGGCTGCTGTTGCCAAGAATGTTGACTGTAGAGCCAAACAAACTAAAGCTATAAACAATCTCAATCTCTTCACCATCCATAGAAGATTTCTACCAACTTTTACAGTCAGAGATGGATCGATCATGCAATCAAGATGCATTGATAATAATAGGTGACTGGAATGCAAAAGTTGGGAACAGAGAAGAAGAAGAAGATTCGGCAGTTGGAAAACATGGACTTGGTGACAGAAATGAAGCTGGAGAGAGAATAGTTGAATGTTGCACAATCAGTGACTTATTCATGGCAAATACCTTTTTTAAGAGACATAAATGTAGGTTATACACGTGAATTTCACTTGATGGTTTGCGTAGGAATCAGATCGATTGCATCTGCAGAAAGAACTGCTAGAGGAGCTCAGTATCCGCTGTGAAAACTAGGCCAGGAACTGATTGTGGAACAGACCACCAACTACTCATATGCAAGTTTAAGCTGAAGCTGAGGAAAATTAAACCTAATCCACGGGAACCAAAATATGACTTTGAGTCTATCCCACCTGAATTTCAGAACCATCTCAGGAACAGGTTTGAGGCCTTGAACACTAATGTGCAAAGACCTGACAAGTTGTGGGAGGTTATCAAGTGTCTCATCCAGGAAGAGTACAAACGGTCATTACAATGACAGAGGGGGAAGAAAAGACCAAAGTGGATGTCAGAATAAATTCTGAATATTGCACTGGAGCGTAGAGAAGCCAAAGCACAAGAAAGAATTCAAGATACTAAAGAGCTGAACAGAAGATATCAAAAGGCTGCACGGGACAAGAAAGTAAAATATTACAATAAAATGTGCAAGGAGCGGGAGTCAGAAAATCAAAAGGGCCAAACTCACTCAGCATTTCTTAAGCTCAAGGAACTGAAGAACAAATTCAAACCTCAGTTGCTATAATCAAGGATGCTTTAGACACAATATTAAAAGAAGATGGAAAGTATATACTGAGTCATTGCATGGAAAGGAATTGGCAGACACAGAAAAATTTCATGAAACAACATATAAGCAAGAGCCTATGGTGATGAAGGAAGACGTTCAGCCTGCTTTGAAGGAAATAGCAAAATATAAGGCCCCAGGAATAGATGGTATACCAGTTGACATATTTCAGCTAACAGATGCTGCCCTGGACATGCTCACCAAGTTGTGCCAAGAAATCTGGAGAACAACCACTTGGCCAACTGACTGGAAGAGGTCTATATTTGTTCCCATTCCAAAGAAGTGTGACCCACAAGAGTGGAAACTATAGAGCAATGTCATTGATTTCACATGCAAGCAAGATTCTACTGAATATTATCCAAAAATGACTGGAACAGCACATCAGCAGAGAACTGCCAGAAGTCCAGGCTGGGTTTAGAAGGGGTCGTGGTGCTAGGGATATTGTAGCTAATGTTAGATGGATCTTGAATGAAAGCAGGGAGTACCAGAGGAATGTCCATCTGTGTTTCATTGATTATTCAAAGGCTTTTGACTGTGTGGATCATAACAAACTGTGGCTGACTCTGAGAAGAATGGGAATCCCAGAACACTTGATCATGCTAATGGGAAAACTATATTTTGACCAAGAGACAGTTGTCAGAATGGAGCAAGGAAGCACTGCCGGGTTCAAAATTGGGAAGGGTGTACGACAGGGATGTGTCCTATCTCCATACCTTTTCAACCCATGTGCAGAACAAATATCTGGGAGGCTGGGCTCTATGAGGAGAAATGTGGGGTCAAGATTGGTGGACGATTTATCAACAGTCTGCATTATGCAGATGACACAACCCTGCTTCCTGAAACTGAGGAGGCCTTAAGCGCTTGCTGCAGAGGGTCAAGGACTGCAACCTTCAATATGGATTGAGGCTCAATGTCAAGAAGACAAAGATTCTCGCCACTGGGCCAATTGGCAGCATTAGGATGGATGGTGAAGAGATTGAGATTGTTCACATACATAAATATAGATTACCCAATAAAACCCTTTTAAACATAAATTTAATAATCAATAGAACAGAAGTATACAGTAGAATATTCCTGGAATTATACTTTGTGTTCTTAAGCCTTTCAATTTCATTTTCACATTCATTTCAAATGAGATATAATGCTTTTGTATTAACAATTTTCAGTTTAAAACAAATTAATTATGCTTTCTTTTTTATCTCATTTTTATTCACATGCTTAATTTCTTGACATATACTTTACACAGAAGAGAGAGAGAAAGAGAGAGAGAGAGAGAAATATTAATACCTTGTGATTGAGAGTACCCGAGGCTTTTTTATAGGTATACAAGGCATACTATGGACTGCCAAGAGAACAAAATAGGCCTGTCCTGGAGAAGGTTAAGTTAGGTTGGTTCTTAGAGGCAAGGATCTTGGTGTGTTTGTTCTGTGTTTTGTTTTGGTTTTCTTTTTCTTTGCCTTCGAGTCAGATTCGACTGGTATAGGAGAAGACTGCCCCTTCTTCTCCAGTGGAGTATGTGGTGGATTCGAACCACACACCTTCAGGATTGAAGCTCAGCTTCTTGTCATTAGGACATCAGAACTACCTTGATGCAAGAATTTTGAAGCACTGTCTCACATACTTTGGACATGTTGCCAGGAGAGAGCAGTCCTTGTAGAAGGACATCATGTTTGAAAGAGTAGAAGGTCAGTTCAGGAGAAGAAGACCATGGAGGAGATGGATTGACACAGTAACTGTGGCAGTTGGGGACAGGTGTTTAGAGATAGTGAGCTTGGCTCAGTGTAGGGCAAGTTTCAGAGCTATTGTTCATAGGGTCACTATGAGTTGTGTAGACTCAGCAGTACATAACAGTATCAACTTATGAAGCTATGGGAAAACTACGAATATTTTTGAAAAATCCACAATTATCTTGTGAGTCACTAATTGTATATACTAGTAGAAACACATGAATCTATTTTCTGGTTTGCACTGAGGATTCATTTTCTTAACTCCTTTCCCATACCTTATGTTATCCTACATATTGTTGCTATGCTGGTCTTTCTTTAACTTTTATGATTTTGCAGACATTCTTGTTGTTCTTTTTGCTGCCACATGAAATCCAAATGTTTCTTCCAGACTCTCTAGCCCCCTTATCAGAATCTTCACTTCTCTAGTCTCGTTTTCCTCTCTACTCAATGTTAGAGTGAATACAGCTCTTTCTGCATAGATAGTGGAGTATAGCTGCAGTCATGTTTTCAGCACACCACACAACAGAACATTTCTCTTATCTCACTAGCTCTGGTTTCTCTGTAATTCCCCCAGCTAAATAGAAAGTTCCTCAAACTCAACATGTCATTGTTTGTTTTTCATTGGATCGCACTAGCCCACTGTTGCTCTTAGGTGCCCTCAAGAAGATTATAAATGGTAATGAGCCTACCTGATCCTGTACTTAGCCAGTTATTGTTGTTGTTGTTTGAGTTGCCTGTGACTCATAGAGACCCTATTTATAACAGCTCTGAACCGTGCTCTATCTTGAGCCAATTTTGTTGTCTCTGACACACCTACCCCCATTACCCCAGTCACTGAGTCAATCCATCTCATTCAGGGTCTTCTTCACTTGCACTGTCCCTTGACAGTTTGAAGCATGATGTCCCTCTCCAAGGACTAGTCCCTCCTTGCAACATGTCCAAAGTACGTCAGATGAAGCTTTAACATCCTTGCCTCCAAGGAGCAGCCTGATTTCACCCTCTCTAAGACGAACTTGTCTGTTCTGCTAGCAGTCTGTGATATATTAAGTACTCTTCTCCAGGACCAGAACTCAAAGGCATTAATTCTTCTTCTGTCATCCTTAGTCATTGTCCGCCTCTGATGCATAGCAAGTAATTGCGAAGACCATGGCCTGGATCAGGCACAACTT